AACAGACATAGCCCCACTCCACAAAGGGGGCAGTAAAGCAACAGCAAAGAACTACAGACCAATGGCACTAACATCCCATATCATAAAAATCTTTGAAAGGGTCCTAAGAAGCAAGATCACCACCCATCTAGAAACCCATCAGTTACACAACCCAGGGCAACATGGGTTTAGAACAGGTCGCTCCTGTCTGTCTCAACTACTGGATCACTACGACAAGGTCCTAAATGCACTAGAAGACAAAAAGAATGCAGATGTAATATATACAGACTTTGCAAAAGCCTTCGACAAGTGTGACCATGGCGTAATAGCGCACAAAATGCGCGCTAAAGGAATAACAGGAAAAGTCGGTCGATGGATCTATAATTTCCTCACTAACAGAACACAGAGAGTAGTCGTCAACAGAGTAAAGTCCGAGGCAGCTACGGTGAAAAGCTCTGTTCCACAAGGCACAGTACTAGCTCCCATCTTGTTCCTCATCCTCATATCCGACATAGACAAGGATGTCAGCCACAGCACCGTGTCTTCCTTTGCAGATGACACCCGAATCTGCATGACAGTGTCTTCCATTGCAGACACTGCAAGGCTCCAGGCGGACATCAACCAAATCTTTCAGTGGGCTGCAGAAAACAATATGAAGTTCAACGATGAGAAATTTCAATTACTTAGATATGGTAAACATGAGGAAATTAAATCTTCATCAGAGTACAAAACAAATTCTGGCCACAAAATAGAGCGAAACACCAACGTCAAAGACCTGGGAGTGATTATGTCGGAGGATTTCAACTTCAAGGACCATAACATTGTATCAATCGCATCTGCTAGAAAAATGACAGGATGGATAATGAGAACCTTCAAAACTAGGGAGGCCAAGCCCATGATGACACTCTTCAGGTCACTTGTTCTATCAAGGCTGGAATATTGCTGCACTCTAACAGCACCTTTCAAGGCAGGTGAAATTGCCGACCTAGAAAATGTACAGAGAACTTTCACGGCGCGCATAACGGAGATAAAACACCTCAATTACTGGGAGCGCTTGAGGTTTCTAAACCTGTATTCCCTGGAACGCAGGAGGGAGAGATACATGATTATATACACCTGGAAAATCCTAGAGGGACTAGTACCGAACTTGCACACGAAAATCACTCACTACGAAAGCAAAAGACTTGGCAGACGATGCACCATCCCCCCAATGAAAAGCAGGGGTGTCACTAGCACGTTGAGAGACCATACAATAAGTGTCAGGGGCCCGAGACTGTTCAACTGCCTCCCAGCACACATAAGGGGGATTACCAACAGACCCCTGGCAGTCTTCAAGCTGGCACTGGACAAGCACCTAAAGTCAGTTCCTGATCAGCCGGGCTGTGGCTCGTACGTTGGTTTGCGTGCAGCCAGCAGCAACAGCCTGGTTGATCAGGCGCTGATCCACCAGGAGGCCTGGTCACAGACCGGGCCGCGGGGGCGTTGACCCCCGAAACTCTCTCCAGGTAAACTCCAGGTAAATATACACCTCACTCTCACTCCCCCCAGGAGGCGACCCTGCTGTGACCCCCTGACTTCCCTCTTCTCACATGTAATCCCCAAACCCCCACCCCTTACTCAGTCCAAGTCGCAGATTCATGAGAAACCCTAACGTTAACATTCTATAACCTTCCGAAAAATCCTTCGCCCACCTCCTCCCATACAGTTCCCTGTTACGACACATCGTACAATAAACCCTTACCGCTAGTACCCGCCGTCACACCTCACAAACCCCCCTCCCCCTCATCACCCACGATATATATATATATATATATATATATATATATATATATATATATATATATATATATATATATATATATATATATATATATATAATCCACCATTATATAATCCAAAGCTCTTGTGACACCCTCGTCGAACCCTCCCACATCTAGGCTTTAATGCACGCAGAACCGACACCCCTCGGCCCCCCCACCCATTGTACCACCCTAGCACCCTCCAGTCCCTCACAAAAGTATACTGCATGGAATGCCGTCTCATCCCCCCCCCACAGATTCCTCACCTCCCTCCCACAATTACTCTTCTGGGTTCTGAATGCACGCAAACAATATTTGTGACATGGGACACCCCTGCCTAAGTCCCCTACCCATTACAATCTCCTCCCCCAACATCCATTAATCTGTACCCTCATCTTAGCTCCTTTGTACAACGTGGTTACCCAATTAACTATTTCTTCCCCATAACCCTGCTTCCCAAGTATAGCTCCCAATGTTCCCCTTTCCACACTGGCATAGGCCCCGTGCAAGTCTAAAGCCAACAACGCCGCCCCCCTCTCCCCCTTTTGACTCCACAAAACTTCTCAGTATCCCATGACCTTCAATCATCGACCTACCAGGCAATCCACACTGCGTTTTCGAAACCACTCTCCCTACCACATATTTAAACCGATTACCCAAGACTTTAGCAAACAACTTATAATCTGCACATAACAGCAATATGGCACGGTACTCCTTGAGGGTATGCTGCCCCTTACCCTTAGGGACAAACACTACAACTGCTGTTGCTTGCTTGTCCCCCATCACACCCTTCTCCTTCATCTGATTTAATAACCAAACCATGAAACCCCTTATCACCTCCCAATGTTGTAGATAAAATTCAGCCGGGAGACCGTCTATTCCCGGTGCTTTGCCCTTCCTCATTCCCCTTAAAGCCAACTCTATTTCCTCTTCCGTTATTACCCCTCCTAAAGCCTTCCTATCACTATTCCCTAAATTACACGTCACATACTAACACACCTTCTCTAAAGCCACATTCCCCACCCTCCCACTTGTCCAATACCTTTCATACCATTTATCCACATATGCACACATTCCTTTCGTAACCCGTAGCTCCTGACCTACCCTATAACCTCCCGCCATCTCATGTACCTCTAACCTTGGAATAACTGTAACCTGCTGCCTTTGTTTTTGATGTCGCAACACACACGCCGATGGCTTGTCTCTACAAAGCACCTCCTCTACCCCTGCCTGCACCCTTACCGCTTGAAACCTCTCATTTTGTAACTCCCTCAGTCTCCCCTTGACCTCGACAATTTCATCCATAGGATAGTTGCCCCCCACATTCCCCTGCCCATATCAACCCCTTAACCTGTCCTCTAAATAATTTGAAAGTCCATATTTTAAGTTATTTATACGTTTACCCTCCCTTACATAATATTTCCTAATCCTTTCCTTGTATTAGATAGACGTTGTTAGTGAAGATGAGGTCTAGCGCATTTTCTAGTCCTGTAGGCTCTAATATTTGCTGGTTTAAAGTGAATTTGGTGCAGAGATTTAATAGCTCGTGTGTGTGTGTGTGTGTGTGTGTGTGTGTGTGTGTGTGTGTGTGAATTGTCATCTGAGCTGCCTCCTGGGGTGATCTCTGCTAAAATATTATTTGCTACACTCCTCTATTTTAGGTGTCTCATGCTGAAATCTCCTAGTAGCAAGATGTTAGAGGTAGGAGTTGGGAGATTTTCCAGAAAGTGGTGATTTTTCGAAAGCTGTTCCTGGAATTGCTGGGAAGTTGCATTAAGAGGATTGTATACAACCACAATGAGAATAGTTTTCAATCTTTACTGCCGAAATCTCAGCTACATCATTTGCGATGTTTAGTAGTTCTGAGCAAATGAGGGACTCTGTGACGTACATGAGAATCTTTAAAAAACACTAACTAACTTCACCCTGTCAGCGTGCGTGATGTCATATGACAGTCACCAACGTCAACTTCAATGCTAAATATTTGCTCAAGTGTTATCAGATTTCACTCATTTTGGTCTTATTTCAAATCTAAAAACAGGTATTTTCCTTTAGTAATTATTTTTAAATCTCTATTACAAGGGGTCAGATTAATTTTGTACCCAGGGAGGCCTGGTCAAGGACTGGGTCATGGAGGCATTGAACCTCAGAATAACATCCAGGTGGCAGTAAGAGAACCCAAGGTAGATGGCACTTATGAATATTGCAATAACTGCACCATCCTCTGCCCATAATTCATGAAATTTGTAACATATTACGAGGAGCAATGTACATTTAAAGGACTGACCGCAGCAAATACCAGGTTCCTCTGGCACCTCTACGTACATTTCCGTATTCTTTTTTTCAGGATGGTTTTTATATATACGATATTTTGACATTTGGAATGTACACTGCACCAAGAACCTTAGAATATATTATACATTAAGTCACATTTGACCTGAAAGGTGATGAATCATACCTAAATGGGACTGTTAAGCTTCCTGAGTATAGTTGCCTATTACTAATGGTACTGTTCTGCTTTCTATCAAGTTTTAGCACCAGTGGTCAGGCTAACAAGCTTTGAATTATCTTCCAACAAATGAAGTAATGTGATTGCTTCCTCTATTTTATGAAGCCCACTGTTGAATTGACAGTTTATCAGTCACGTCGTCAGTATTGAATAAGAAGTGGGAATCATCTTTTACAGCCACCCCGTAAAGAGACACTGCTTTGTTTGCTATTATTCAACAAAATAAGTAATAATTCGTTTGTATGACTGCTTTATGTTAGTGGGGAACACCAAAACTATAGACTACAGGCACTCATTAAAATCTAATGTTATATTACTATCACAATGTGGACCTGTGTATAAAGAACTTATTTGGGTTTAATTTTCAAAGCAATTAATACTGAAGTGAATATGTAGTCCAGTAACATTGAAAATTTGTGTTAGTTAAAAAAAAATCACAGAATGGTTAGTTTTTGAACCCACTGCAAATGAGTCAAAAAACTCACTGGTCAGTGACTTTTAGCACTCACTTGCCATGGGTTCGATCCCCACCCGTTCTGTGATTTATTTGCAATCGTGATATTACGATTTCGTGAGGAAATGTAAGTTACTAAAGGAGGGTAAAAATTAACTGAAAAATATTTACATAGGTCAAAATTGTAGCAAATTTAAATTAGTACCATTGCCAGACTTCTCTTGAAGGGATGAAAAATAAAAAAACATAGAGTACTTACTCAAGACATATGTGGCAAGAACGAGGCCACAGCCTCCAGCACCGGTGAAGAACTGCATCAACAGGAACATGTAGTAGTTAGGAGACAATGAGCATGTAACTCCACCAGTACCAAGTAGAAGTACTGACACCAAGATTGCCTTTTTTCTTCCGAATCGATCAGCTAAATCACCAATAACAATGGCTCCCACTAACATACCAATCATGTACATTGAACCACCAAGAGGACGAAGCCAAGCTTTTTCACATGTTAAGTCAAACTGTGGAAACAAAAATTATCAAATCATTATTTCGAAATTATATATAACGCTGATCCTTGGTTAAAATAGATAATCTACATTTACAGAGCTCTAATACTAGCCAGCTAGCAAATTTAAGTATTAAGGCAAGGATTAAAAGGTTCAAGGGAATACATTTAGAATATCTTTAATAATAATAATAATAATAATAATAATAATAATAATAATAATAATAATGTTCATTACTCCAAGTACAGGATACAACTATTACAGAACTAGCAAACATCATTGACATACTATATAGAAAGCCAATAGTTATGCAGCGCATTTAAAGCAACTTTTATTAATCTTGTCTCCTAGGATGCCATAGTCAACTAACACCTAAGTACCTACTTTCAGGTAGGTAGGAGAACAGGTGCAGCACATGTAAGTTGACTCACACCCAAGTACCTACTTACTGCTAGGTGAACAGTTGCAGCAGAGGTAATGAAACAAGCTCAACATTTCAGTGCTGACACTTTGGCTAAAGGACTAAGTGGAGTGACTATGGTTCCAGGACCAAGTGGAGTGACTAAGGTTCCAGGACCAAGTGGAGTGACCAAGGTTCCAGGACTAAGTGGAGTGACTAAGGTTCCAGGACCAAGTGGAGTGACCAAGGTTCCAGGACTAAGTGGAGTGACCAAGGTTCCAGGACTAAGTGGAGTGACTAAGGTTCCAGGACCAAGTGCAGTGACCAAAGTTCCAGAACTAAGTGGAGTGACCAAGGTTCCAGAACTAAGTGGAGTGACCAAGGTTCCAGGACTAATTGGAGTGACCAAGGTTCCAGGACTAATGTAGACAGCCTGTACTGTCAGAACACACAGCCTAGCCGTCTGTTCTGACTAGTTCATATTTCGCGGCATTAAAGTTCTGCCCTCTGTAGGCTCACCCAGGTCAGTGGGAGGCTGAGCCCATTCGCCCTCACTCCTAGGCCGACCGACTTGATAGGCACAAGTGCTCCCCCGTCCATGGACTGGCTTGCGGTCATTCCCTCACACTGCCCATTGTGTGCTCACTCCTATCCAATTAAAGCCAACCTAGTCCACGGCCGTATCATTGCTACCTACGCTACCTTCATCAGCATTAAACCGCTGTTCAGCAGAAAGAACAGTAATAACAGTGGTGACAGCAAAGTCAACGGCATTGTGAGCCTACTCAGGGTGGGGGGGTCGACGCCCATCAACACCATCGGTCGACGCCAGTCAACATCATCCATCGTCATCCAACGCACCTGCTGGCCCAACGAGTTATCTGTTACTCCCAGCGTCTTGACGGGGCCTGAGATAGATCTTCGTCCTAGATTTTTCCCACAAAATCTGGACATAGGCGTCACGGCGTCATCTCCAGCCTTAGCAGTCACGTGTTCACCTCGTCACCCTCTCTACAGCCCTTCAACACTCTCCAGCACCATTCTCCTGCCTCCTACAGCGTCCCTACGCCCTTCTCAGCTACAAGAAGTAGAGGTGAGGTCGTTTAGTGTGTTGGCTTAATGTGGCTCCACACGTGACCACGAGGCAGCTCTGGGGTTGGTTGACACCCTAGACTGCGTGTAAACACACCAGCCTCCTCTACAACCTTCTCTGCTACGGAACTACGTCCCTCTCGCCGTCCGTGTGTGTTGTGTTCTTCCCAGTTTCCTACAAGAAGTTCTACCTGGCTTAACCACGTGGGAACCCAGTTGGCCTAGCCCCTAAGCCAGCTTAGTTCAGCCCCCACGCCGTCTACAGCAGCTCGTGACTCATCATTGTGTCTACAACTACTCAGCGTCTACGTATCTCCAGCCAGTGTAGTTTTTTTTTTTTGTGTTGCCCAGTTAAATTTTTCTTTCCCTTGCTGTTACATTCTCAGTTCATCACCAGTTTAGTTTTTCCCCAGTGATTAGTTACAGTAAAACCTCGTACCAGTTCATAGTTTCACCTAAGTTTGTTTTTAGCACGTTCGAGTAGTGCAGTAAATGTTTTGTTCTCCGTGCGCTGAAGCCGCAATCAGTCAGCGCGCCCAGACACGCTTGCTAGTGTAAACAAACCATGCACAGCTGTGGCTCAAGCCGAGTTAGCCACGGTTTCTTAAATTTTCTACCTTCACAGAGTCCTCCGGCCTTTCCTGTTCTTCCCAAGTCCATTCTGATAATTTTTCCTTCGTCATTGAAGCCCCACAGCAGTGTACAAATGCTACGAGGCGTGTAGTGTTACCAGTGCATCACTGAAAGTTTCAGGACCTGCAGCACCCAGTACCTTCGTCCATCTCCTGCACTCAAAGTTAAGTAAACAGTGACTTACCTAGCATTTCCTAATATTTTGTGACATTATTTAACTGTCCTGCACCAATACAGTTGTCGCTGAAGCCATACTTCAGTAAATTGTTCGGTTTTAGTCATCACTGTACACTGTACATTTTGCCACTTACCTACAGCTTCTTAAATTTTGTACATTTATTTTGAACTACTGCATTTTAAATTCCAGTATTTTATTCTGCATCTTGCACCTCAGTTGTCATTTAAATTGTTCAGTGTTAACCATTTATACAATTTACCTCTCACATACAGTTTGCAAGTAATTCCTGTGTGCTGTTATTTTGTTAGTTGCACCTGCAAGTTAGCCACAGATTGTTGACAACCATGCACTGTTTTGTTTGTCAGTGTGTATTTTTTTAATAGGTGTAATCTTCAAGTACTTAAGTATTAGTTTATTCTACCTGCAGTGATACAATCAGTGCCTAGCCCATTACACTTTTCTCCTGTGTCCCCATTTATGTGCTCTCCATATATTCCATGTTTTATCTGTGAATATTCACCAATGTGCATTGCATTTTGCTATTTTGTATGCCCAAGTCATTGAGTGCATTTTTGGGAATCTGCTTATTTACCATTGATTACCAAAATTACTTGTGAAGTTCATTAATTTTGACCTAGAGATTGTGTAATTTTTGTTTTTGCCAGTGTACACCCTGCTAACACCAGTTAACCCTTACCCTATTATTGAAATTAATAATTTGAACTTTTATTAATTTTATTTTGTGTGCAATATAGCATTTCTTGATACAGTGTATTTTTTTTCTCTGTGATTTTTGGCACTATCCCATACTCTGATATCTTTGCTGTGTCAACTTTCCTTTGTGCAAGTGAATTACTTTTTTTTTGCATTCCAATTTGCAACTGCCAGCACCTGCAATCTTTTTCTGCGTGTTGAGAAAGCTTGCAGCACGGTTTAGTGTAATGTAATACCTGATTTATTTTAAATTTTGTGCAATTTTTGCTACCAGTGTTTACAGTTCAACTCCTTTTCATAAATTTTGTTGCCAGTCTCCTGGTGAAATTATTGAATACCCTTAGCGTCATTTTGTTTACTCCCCTGTACTTCATTCACTTGCATACATCTCTTATTTTGTGTTTCAGAGTGTACCACTATTTTTTGTTGTTGTTGTTTCGCTCAAATTATTTCAATCACTAAGCAGTTTACCTAGTGCCATGGTGCTGTGTTCTCTCTGATTCCGTATTGAATTGTAGCCAGTGCATACCATTTCTTGCTCTGACCTGTTTACCCTCTTCGTGACCTGCTTGCCTTTGAACAATTGACGTCATGACTAAGACACGCAGTGGCCGTACCGTTAGCCCAGATTCTGCTGATGCTAGCAATGGTGCCTCAGCCAGCGTGAACACGCAGCAGGGCGGCGAAGCCCCCGTGACAGTTGGTCAAGTTGTGGCTCAAGTCTCGACCACTAGTGGGTCGGCTAATCGTCCATATCCGACCCTTCTTTTTGACGGTCGTTCAATTAGGTTAGAGCCATGGCTGCGGTCAGTCGAGACGACTGTTAAGGCCCTATTTGATAGTCCCACGGACTCACAGTACATTCGTGCTGCTGTTGCAGCAGTGGATCTCACCGGGGATGATATAGGCGCCTTTGTGCAGCTCAATCGCGTTTGTGAGATTCAGTTTTGGGATGAGCTTAAGGAGGAATTTAGGCATTATTTTCGGCGTAATCGCCAACGCCATTACCTTGAGATCGTTACCAGCATCTTGGCCGAATGTCAATACAGGCACGAAAGCCCCCTGGCTTGCATTTGCCGGTTTGAGCAAGCCGCCAAAGATTTTACTGATGCCATACGCTCCACTAAGTGGGTGAATGGTGACAACAGTATTAAAGCTAAAGACATCATCCCCATGCTGGCTGTAGGCATCATGCGGAGGGACGCCCCCCTAATCTCCAGGGTGCCATTGATGCACTAGGACTCGGCCCTGAGCACGACGTCCTGGATGCATACGATGCCATTGACGCGATCAAGCCGCCTGCCAAGAAAGGCAAGGTTTGCCGCTTTGCTGATGATCCTATACCCGTCCTTCCGGCGCCGTCCACGGTGACCCCGCAGGCACAGCCGGAAGTCACTTTTGCCGCCGCTGTCAGACAGCCAGCCCTCAAAGTTTCCAACCCCAGTCCCACTAACACTCGCCCGAGAAAACATAATGACTACAGTAACAACACTCGGTCTCATACAAAGAAGCCGTCACCGACTTCCTGGACCAAGGCAAAACGTCGCCAGCACACACCACCTCCAGCATCACCTGCTAAGCACGTAGTGACTTGTTTCAACTGTGGCAAATGCGGGCACTACTGATCTGAGTGTTACAAACCTAAGTCCCCGCAAGGTAACCGTCACCGTCCTCACGCTCAGTATCAAAGTAACCGTCACCGTCCCCATGCTCAGTCTCGCGAGGGAGTCTGTATGTACCACAACACTTCCAGTCATATCTCTAATGAGTGTAACATGCTGCGAAGTATGCTGTCAGCTGAGTGGAGCAGCAGTCGTCGCGCAATGCACGTGCTAGTCGAAGCCCTTCCACTAGTTCGGGGGAAGAGGCGCATCCAAAAAATCAGCAAAAGACATAGTAACCCTGTCGGAGTTGCTGTATTCCGTCCCTGTCCGCAATGCGTTCACCGCCCTGGGCAGTGATACGCTTGCCGACAGTGAGGAACCAGAGTTTCTT